GTCAACTTCATTTAGGACTATCACATTACCAAGTAATATTTTGACCGATACACGAGAAAGTAAATTTATTCTGTTTTACTTTATGACTTTTCCAACTAACATTGCTTTCATAAATTTTACTTGCGTTAGGGTATAGATGCGGAATGTCGGTGGGATAGAGTGCTTGTAGGGTGTGGGTGAAGAGAAGACCAATATTGACACCAACACCCACCCCATTCATTTCATTCACCCACGCCTACACGCACATCCAACTGTAATGTCAGTCAGTGGACTAAGAACTATAGAATTTCTCTACAGCTATATGAAAATGAATAGTAAGTATATTAAATAACATATTTTTCAAAATGCACTGAAAGAGAGTTTAGACCTAGCTGCGATAAAGACGTAAATAACGCGTAAAGATTTATGAGTAGAAAAATAAATACAAGATAAGTATGTTGACTGCATATTTTTCTGTTTATTTTTGAAGGTCTTGCACAATTGCTTGTCAACTTTATCTTTGAGATGCTAAGATATCTATTATATAAAAAGAGCACTTCTACCGTCATATCTCATGGACATTTGCTCTTTTTTATTCAACGATCAAAATTTAACTTACACAACTAAACAATAACAATGCAGTACTATATCGTCACAATTGCCGTTCTTCTACTTGGCAAGCATTGTCTAACTTAAAAATACAAGTGTCTGTAATATTTGCTTTTATTGTAGGTATGCAATTGACTCCCACATGGACCCTCACTTGCTATAAATGTGAAGGTAGTCCTGGCACTGCGTGCTATGATCCATTTAATCCTAATAGTGCAACTGTCACTAAAGTTGAATCAACTACGGGATGATGTGTAGTGAGTATCTGATTCTTGAATAATTAAACATTTAACTTTCTTCTCGTATCTTAAAGAAAAGAAAAGGTGAAGCTCTTGGACAGAAAAACGTTGATCGTGATGCTTATACAGACGATCCAATTGCTCAATGCACAAAACCAGGATGCACAAAAGTTAATATTCCTCTTGTGGCGTCAGGTGTACAGTGTTGTTGTAACGATGATCTGTGCAATTCGGCTGGTCATCTCACTTCAACAATAACAATTGGAATTATTCTTTCAATACTTGTTTTTGCATTCAAAAAACTAATATATTAAATCGATTTAAGCTTAAATAAAACTTTTGACATTCACAATAGAAATGATATTGATAATTAACAATGTATTAACCAGCAATTGTTTTGCATCATAATGATTTTTTAAATAAAAATTGCTTCACTGTGCTTTTTATGTATGTTTTTCGTTATGAATAAATTTTTTTCTTTAAGAAGAAAAGAAATCTATACAACGAGGCCTTTACCAATAATAGACCAACTCGGCATGACTGGTGTGATTATTTAGAATTCGTCAAGATTACAGACGAATGCAAATGTATAAACGTCTTGCAAGCGAGTCTCATCTATTAATAGTGACTGATCTTATTTGTTTTGACTGCGACACTATTCTAACAAAAGATACACAATAATTATTTTCTTTTATGTAATAGAAGCCGAGAGAAACAACAAAGGACTCATCATGAGCACGTAAAGGATTTGAGTATGGCAAGAAAACCGTAACGCCTTCGACCTTGCTTAAGAATTTCGTCAGATGATTTATTTGATGTGAGTTGGTATTCTAGAATTTACTGATAAGCTCGGTAATATCTATTAATGAATAATTTTGGTTTCTTGAATGCTTTGATTTGTGATTGCTGTGTGAAGTGTGGAGATGGTACATTGGTCAGTTTCTGTTCTTCTGCTTTTGGAAAGTGTTTTTGAATTATGTGTCAATTTTCTTTCAAAACCTATTTCAGGATGTGTATTGAAAATGGCTTTTGTTGATAGATCTTATCGAGTCTTAATCTCAGGTCAGAAAATCAGACATAAGATCTAAAAGGATCTTATGAGATCATATCCACACAAGATATTTTATAGAATCATACGAACAGATCAATCATGATCCTACCGACAGTATTATATGAGAACTTTGAATAACTCTTCATCGTACGACTGAAGCGAAAATCTTACAAGAACCGCTATTAAGACGTCAACCTGATCATATAAAATTAGATACGTTCGATCATCAATGAAACATATAAGATAAGACAAAACGATCTTACACGATTGTTGAGGATAAGATGCGAACGTCTGTTTGAAAATCTTATCTACCGATTTCACTCAATTTACCCTGAAATTGCAAATCTTTAAGATTGCAACGAACTATTTTCGTTCCGTCGACCAAAGGAACGGTTATATGAAACAGAGATGGACAAAATCGCACCGCGCCTCCCCGCGCTTCCCCGCGCCGTTGCTCACGCCTACGCTACACTAGTCTGAGCTTCGATGAGCGCATGCTTAGAGCATCCTGGTATTCGGTGGAGTTTGAGAAACTGATTGGTAGAGCAAAGAGAAAGAGAGATGTGCGTAGCGCCTAGGCGCGAGCAGTGGCGCGGGGAAGCGCGGTGAGGCGCGGTGCGATTTTGTCCATCTCTGATATGAAATACAATGTGTTTGTAGGTGTATGTTTGTCAGCACGTGTTCGGTCATGTGCTTCCATATATTGAGGTACTATTTAAAGTTTGACCAAAGGTATCCAGGGTCCAGGAATACGAATCTGTAATCATTTTTTCAAAATTTTGAATTTGATTCACTCGAATGAAGAGAGAGTCATATGAAATAAAATGTATTTCTATATTTGTTTGCAGTCACGTGTGTAGTTACATGTCCACATAAATATAGTTATTTTTTATAAGGCATTGAGAAAAGGAAATCAGGGTCGGGAAATAGAAATCTGCCATTACATTTTCAAAATTTTGAAGACGTATTTTTCGTGTAAAGGAAGCGGTTCTGGAGAAAATAACAAAATTGGCTTTTATGGAATGGAAGACAGTTCGAAATCAAAGTAGTGGGCGCATGGGTCTACATTTTTACTCGGAAGTCTTGAGTGTGTGTTTTGTGGGTGTGGTTGTCAGTGCGCGTGATAAATGAATTGAGTACCAATACCTACTAACATCCACATCCACACCACCACATCGACATCGACACCCACCCACACCATTTTCTGGTTTGGCTGTTTGTACAAATGGTGACAACTTGTGGAAAGCGATGAAGTGCTGTGATGAAAAATTGCTATTGCCGACTAGAAGCGCTCTCTGTCGAAATTTTTGATTGGTTTTAGTGAGACAATCAATGAACTGGTCATCAAGATTATGTTGACGGGTCAGATTGTGGTAGTTTCACATAAATTTTTTCTGTCTCTATTTTAGAAAAGAAATAAGGACAGTAAAAACGCTCTGCATTCGTCGTATGCATTAGTCATCGATACGAAAAGAAAAATTTGTTCTGTTTATTTGTCAACGTATGACACAAATAATAAAAACTGGTTTTTTCCAGCAATGATTTCCAAGGTAAACATAACTCGATATTTGACTATCTTTATCATGATTTTTTTCAGAAAATTCTGTAAGAAAATTTTGAGTATTCGTAAACGAAAAGTTTGATTTTATTGTTTCAATATGAGTTTTTGGCTTTGTTAACATTTTGTGTATCAGTATCGTCAAAAAATTTTTCTAATATGTTCGAAATAAAGTGGACACAAACAGTATAGAAATCCAGTAGTGTTAATCATCGTTGGGAAATGCATATTCTGCGAGTAAGTTTTCTGGATTTTATTAAAAGTGTTTTTGGAACAAACTCATCTGATAGAGATGTTCATGTGCAAAATAAGATGCCCTTAATCTCTCCACGATCAATGCTCATAATACGATAGTGATCCTATGATAGATCTCTAAGGCTGTTTCATATTGTTTTTTAAGAAAATTTATATGAATTTGTCATGCTTGGCACCTTGGTGTCTTTCGTTGATGATAGATCTCGGAGAACTCAAGAATATCTTAGTGTGTTCAAATATGTTTTATTTATCAGGTGAACTTATTTCCAACAGACTTTTTCGTTTAACCTGTTAAGAGAATGTTGACAAGTATACATTTTGATAGGACATGATTTCAGCTAATTAAATATTTTTTCCAATTTGTTCCAATTATAACCGTTAAGAAAAAGTCACAGCTACTTCCTTTCTAAATTTTTCTCCTTTAATTTAAAAGCAATTATATAACGAGTTATGTGTCCCATATTTTGAGAGATAGATATATTTATAAATTATTTTGGTTCTATTTAATTAAACGTATATACATAAAATGTCCTTTAAAGAAATAAACAGTTTCACTCTTGTTAGAAGTAAAACAAGAAACCATTCGATTAAATGGCTTCCTTTCCTTCATTTTGAGAGAATTGGAACAAAAACAAAATATTTCACGCTCTTTTCTGCCGACTACTTGGCTTTTTCCTATAGAAGTCGCAATAGCTAAAAAAATAAATCAAAGCAAAATAAAGAAAAACTGTGGTTGCTAGTCATACGAAGATTGTTTTATTTCTCGTATCTTGAAGGAGAATGTAACAGTTCCAGTTCATTTCGAACTGGTTGACTAGTTCTCCTAAATAAGAACTGGTGCAAATTGGATAAGTTTAGTCTTGATATGATGAATTAGCACCAGTTATTATTCTTCAAAGAAACAAGTCACCAATTCAAAATGTATCCGAAACGGTACAGCGTGAATCTTAGAACATATTCCGTCACATTTCTTTTAATTAATCCTACGCAAGCACAATAAGGAAATAGTTAATATATTGTAAGAAACTACTATTGATATACTATCTATGATCGTATACTAATAAGGTCTATCACAGTCTATGAGGAGATAAAGAGTTCATATTTCTATTCTATGTACTTTGACACTTATTTTAGATTGTGTTTCACAAAACATTAGTAGTACTTCTTTTAACATGAAAAAAATATAGTCTTAGTTGATTTTTATCAAGAAAAGATTGAAAACACGAATTGAGAATTAACGTTTTATACACAATCTTCTCAGCATTCACAATCAAACTCAAATCTACCTTGAATATTGGTATCTGACCTGATGGCAAAATTTATAAATGTTAAACCTAGCGAATATCATCCACAGTCACAAACGACAGTAATAACATATTCATCACCCTCAGATTCTCATCAGATTAGCACATCTCATGATGCCAAACCTAGAAAACCAATAACAAGCATTGCACCTCCTGTCTATGCAATGGCAACATACGATTCGAATTCATTCAAATCACTGAAAGAACAACCAATTGATTTAGCTACATTTAATCGTTTAAAATTCGTTTGGTTAGATCCTTTGCTGGTAGAAACACGTGACATTTATGACGAAATTAGTGGTACGTTTCAGTGGGAGATATGTGAAAGTCAATATCAATGTGTTAATTATATTTGTAATGAGTGTGCTAATAAACGAGTATTTTTTATTACTTGCGGTTCACTTGGAACAAAAGTTGTACCTCTGGTTCATGATTTACCACAACTTTATTGTATTTATGTCTATTGTGCAGATGTTATATATAATCAAATATGGGAGAACAAATTTTCCAAAATACGTGTTGTTTGTAACAACAATGACAAATATTTATTACCTCAATTTGCTGTTGATGTGGCACAGGCCAATATTGATTGGGGAAATGCACTTTTGAACGCTGGTAAATGTAACGAAGCTAAAAGAAAATATGAACAAGCGTTGAACAATTTAACTCGATATGTTAATCATCCTGATCCAGCTATGGTGAACCAAGTAAAACAAAACTTAGATGAATGCAAACATATTGCATCATTTATGAACTATCTTCATGTTAGAGAGTAAAAGAATTCATATAATGTTTCTTTTTTCTCTTATTCAATATGAAATGTACAAAACAAAGGAACTATTTTTTTTGTTCATTTATTTTATTCAAAACTATCGATCATTGATGCAAACATAATATATTTTTCGTCTGAAATTTCGAAGGGTGTTGGTGTGATTATAGGCAAAGAGGTAATCAACACTTCCATCCTTAAAACTTGATTTCTTGAACATAATCTCACATAGAAAAGACTGAAAACATCGATATATGTTACTTTTTCACTAGACAACCATGACTTTAATTTTAACGTTTTTTCGTCTTTTGTAAATTTGACATAATTATTGAACAACATACTAATATATCTAGTTAGGAAAGTCAGATATTGATTTGCAGAGATATTATTTCTTGTTGTAAGCTTGAAGTATTGGTAATATGTGTTATAATATGGACTGATAATTCATTTACACAACAGACAAATGTCCTGTCCTCTAACATGAAATGTAATACATATAGACTTTGATTGTTATCTACTTATAGGTATGTGTAGTTACTTACTAAAACAATAAACAGACTCTCTTATGAAGCTCTCATGTGTTTTATGTTTATTACTTGCACATTCATATTATTTTATTATTATTAGATTATAATAGAGATTTTTTTAATTTAATTCATAAGCAAGTACTATTTGATCATGATTTATCTATGAAAAACCCATGACAATGTACACGTTGACATCAACGATGGAAACATTTATGAGTTGAAACATCTAAAAGATA